GGCAGCAAGATCCTGTCGTAAATAAGTTGTTACAAAATATTTGACATTTTTGTTTTTATCACGGCGGCAAAAGTGCTGCCTCAAATACTATATTTGATTGTCATAAAAAATAGAAGATATATTTATGAGAGCAACGATGCCGCCACAAATTTTTTTTTTTAAAATTATTATGTGCTGTTCATAACCAATATTATATACCCTGTGCACATATACACTCCATGCAATTTTTTTTTTTGGTGGAAGAGGGGGAAGGGGACTTGAACCCTTGACTTCAAGAAGAAAAAACTTTCATAATGTAAAGAGTACCATTAGATCAAAGACTCATTTGTATCCATACAACTATCCAATTTAATATATAGATAAACACAAAAGTAAATATAATCAACATTTTCAAAAATATAACAATATTTTCATATCTAAAAAAAATAAACCCACGAGTTAAACAAAATGTAAAACGTGCACTTTTATAAAACATAATGATCTATGAGTATAAAAAATTAATGTAAAAAGTTGAACATCCTTTCCTAACCATCTACTTTCTCAATGACATCTGAAAAAAATAAAAAATTATTGTTACAATACTGAAATAATATTTATATACATATATACAATAAAAAATTAAAAGAAGTCAGAATATATATCAACAGAGGGTTATGCAATATTTCTCTGAGCGGCTTGTCTAATTATGTAAAAGGTATATAAACGAATCATATCGATCATATACATTTCTTCTAACTGGTTTCACCAATATACTGATTCGTTTATAATCATATCGTGACGGGTTCACTCGTTTACTAAACAGGTAGCTTTAGGAAGATTCAAACCCACTAATTTTATGTTGTGTTAACGGGTCGTGTCATATTTTGACACCCCTAATTTTGATATAAAAACTTGACTTTGTAGAGTTTAATTTTTTTTTCTTTGAACTAGAAATTGTCTTTTGATGTTAAACTATGTAATTTTATAAAATATTACTTGTAACAAGAAAAATAGTTGTGGCTAACACAATTTTTTTTTTAGAGTTTTTCTTCTTTAAACTATAAAATATTTTTTAATCTAAAACAACATTTTAATGTTTTTTGAAATATTATATACGACGGGAAAAGTAGCTGCCATAAATATATAAAAAATTTTGGATTTATAAAATATTATTTGAGATAGGAAAAACAGTTGTCTCAAATACAAATTTTTTTTTTGAGTTTATAACACTATTTACGATAGAAAAAATAACTGTCATAAATATTAACACAAACATACTTTTTGTGACGGTAAACACAGCTGCCACAAAATATTGTTTCAAATATGTCTTTTGTGACATCAAACAAAACTACCATTAAAAATTTGTTATAAAAGACCCTTATTCTTGTAGTGTTAATTATTTCTCTTTTTTCTACAATAACACACTAAGTTACAAAACTCATCATTCTCTGAATTCGATTATCTAAATATCAATTGATATATTTAATTGATTATGTAAGTTCGAATATGATATTATATTTCAAGAATTTAGATTTGAATATATCAAAATTTGACCTAATTTACGATTCACAATAACATATGCACACATGTGTATATATAAGATTTAGTTTTTGATCAAATTTTTTAATATTTAATGGATATGGATATTGATATGAATTGTAAAGAAGAAACTTGGTAGGTAATTAGATCATATTTAAAATGGAGTTTTCAAATCGAACTTGAATTCGAATCACTCAAAATGGAATTTTCAAAGTTAAAACTGCACAAAGCCGGCTAGATAGTTTTACACTCAACGTATCCCTTATGCTCTGTTTGGTACGATGAAAAAGTAGAAGGATAAAAAGTTGGAAGGATGAAAAGTTGGGGGATAAATAAAATATCATGTTTGGTAAAGAAGGAAAGATAGAAAAGTGGATGGATTAACTTTCCTTCCAACTCACCAATATCAATCCCTCCAAAATCGAAAGGAAAGTGGATGAAAAATTAATTATTTGTGTATATATCTTTTTATATATACATATATTATGTATATATTAATTTTATATAAATATACAATGGTAAAATATGTATATATATATTAAAAAATAAAAAAAAATTTAATTAAATTTTTTTTTTTCCATCTTAACTAAGAGTGAAAATTTTCGACTCAACACGATGACACGACTCGAACTCGATATGAAAATAAACAGGTCAACTCGCAACTCAACACAACACAATTAGTTAAATGAGATAAGTTAGGTTTTACTAATATTCGACACAAACCCATAATAATTCAACACGAATCTGACACGACACTACTTGATTGTCACCTCTAATCTTAGCCAGCACATAAAAAAAATAGTCATTTTTATTTTTCATCTATTTACCCAAACACAAATGAAGGAAAGTGTATCCGTCCTACTTTCTATCCTTGAAGGATAAAAAATGTATCCGTTCTATTTTTCATCTTTCTTACTTTCTATCCTTTCTATCATTTAGCAGTATCCGGAGAAGCATTACAGCAAATTCAAAGTAGGGTGCATTGATGTTGTCCAAATTAGAATACATTAATGTCGGAAAAAAGTAGAACTGCCCCCTAATTCTGCGAAATCATTTTTCACACACTAATTCGTCACCATAATGAATCATACAAACCTCATACCATTGAGGTCATCTGATCTATGTCATGTTTTACTATTATAACGTTTGGATTTTGTTACTTATCGGGAAAAAAAGTATGTTTGCGTATAGTTATTTGTTCATGGTGTGTATGTGTGTCTGTCCTATCCTTGGTCATTCGTAAGGCAACATCATACTCTGTTGTGTTCTTGGTCCATTTGATTTGATGAAAAATTGGAGGTAGATACAGGGAGACGAAAACAAAATGAAAACTTTGAGCCACACAAGTTCATGCAACTTCTTCATTATTGGGGTTCAAAAATGAATGATTAGTGCCGACATGTATGTATGGAAAACAGTTGTGTACTTTGCTTGGAGTTTGTAATAAGCACAAATGTATTAATTCAATGACTACAATAAATTAGATCCTAAAATCAAACAATTTTACTTTTTCTATCTTTGCAATTGTATAATTTGCTTGAGATTTGAAATCATGGACTAACTCCAAATATCTTTCTTTGAGCATTAGAGCTTCTTTTTTTTTTGTAAGTTATTACATACATATCGTTGCCATCCACGCAAACTAAAACTGCCTATTCAATTGTTCTTTGCCCTAAATTTAACCATGCATCAATGTACTTCCAGTGTGTGTTTGTGGGCGTGCTCTTTTTCACACCACATGATCAATGCTACAAGGTCCAGGTTGCAGTACAACGTTATAATCCTCAGTCAGATTGCCTTAGACTTTTTGTTTTTAAAATGAAAACAAAATTTGACATCAAAAGGTGAGCAAGACGGTGCTAAGGGGTCCATTTATGAGTGTTCATCATACAACTGTTTGAAAATTCAACTCTAATAAAGCTTATGTAACCTATGCCCAGAATGTCTGTGGTTTAAAACCCTCCATCACTGCTTTTGGCGGTAGCTAAAGTGTGTTCCACTTTATTTTGTTCTTTTCATCCTGTTTTGGTGCATGATGTTCACTAGTCAATGAGTCATGAATGTGATACATGCATATATAGTTCGTAACTATTATAGATGAGTTATAGACTGTTCTTTTCTTGAAATAGGATTAATTTGACGATGAAACTAACTTTAGTCATAGGTAATAGTATATTCGAGCCGATTCCACTTGATCAAATCATGTTACTTAGATTTGGCTTGCTAACGAAATGAAATTGGAAATTTAATCCAATTTGATTAGTTTTGTAACTTATGAACAAGTTGAAGCCCCATAAAAATTGGATCGTTTTACACTCTACGTATCCCTTACACAAAGGAGTGCTGATCAAATCACGAGGCTTCTTTTATTATAGGGATTAGGGAGAGTTAGATATATGTAATCTTATCCTTATAAGTAAAAAAAGATTATTTCTACACCTCTACCCCGAAATTGACAATTTTGCCTCAGTAATATGTCATTAGAAGTATTGGGAAAAGCATCAAAGCAAATTCAAGGAGGGTGCGTGAAACACGACGAGGACAAGAGCAGATATGTTGTCCAAATTAGAATCCATTAATTTTGGAAAAAGTAGGACATACGTACACTTCATGCTTGCTAAATCACTTTTCACGCACCATATTTCGTCACTATAGTGAATCATACAAACCTCATGCCATGGGTGAAGGGGGGAGACTACGGTATCAAAAAAAATAAAATTTGGTAATATATTGTGGGTTGAAATATAAGTCTTTAGGTTTGTTTACACTAATAAAAATTTGCCACTTTTAAGCTCACATTAACAATTTTTATTGTTCAAGTTACCAATTTTGTGGGACATTTACAAATTTTGAGGTTACATGTAATTGATCATAAAAGTTTTTAGGATCGATCACAAGTAACCTCAAAAGTTGTAAATTGTAATCAAAACTAAGAAATGACCCTAAAAAATTGTAAGTGACCCTTAAAAATTGTAAAAATAAACCACAAACCCTATAATAACGATATGGTACCATAACTTCTCCTTCGTGAGATCATTTGATCTATGTCATTTTTTATTATTATAATGTATTTTTTGGTGAGTAATTATTATATTGTTTGCATTTAGTTACTTACCCAAAAAAAATGTTTGTATTTAGTTACTTGCCCACCGTGTAAATATGCGTGTGTTTATTTTAACTTTGCTCACANTTGTTTGCATTTAGTTACTTACCCAAAAAAAATGTTTGTATTTAGTTACTTGCCCACCGTGTAAATATGCGTGTGTTTATTTTAACTTTGCTCACACTATTGAGAAATTTTTGGAATGGAGTATTTTTGCAATTTTATGGTAAACGTTGAACACTGATTGGTAATTGACCATTGGTGCTTTTGACAGTCTTCATATGTGTTATAATTCTCTAATATATACGTTGCATCAAGTCCTATAAACCATAAGGGAAAAAAATATTTTAACTTGATGTTTTTAACAAAAATTGAGTAGATGGTTGGTTAGATGTCCTATCTTTGGTCATTCGTAAGGCAAAATCATAATCTTTTGTGTGGTTGGTCCATTTGATTTGATGAA